AATCACAGCACAGAGCTTGGAACAGACTTCTGTTGGAAGCTGAAACAGATTTCTGATTCGTTCCAGGCTTCCCTTTTAGCTTGGACTGAAGCCGAGGCCCGTGGTCATGTAGCATATCAAGCTACAAATATGTGCCTCACAATTATTGCTGGAGAAAAGTGTGGGGTGATGTGAAGGAGAGGCTCCATTCCACCTCAGTTTCTAATAAGTGACATTGCAGAACATTAAGAGGTGTCAACAATTCATAATTTTGTTTGTTTTGTTTTTTATTTGTGACATGCTTTCTTTGTGTAGCTCTGGCTGTCTTGGATATGGCTTTGCAGAGCAGTCTGGACTCAAACTCACAGAGATCTGCCTGCCTCTGTCTCCCAAGTGCTAAAGTTAAAGGTGTATACCACTATTGCCCAGGAGGAATTCATAATTCTTTACATGAATGAATAAATAAATTAGGAAACAGACTTCCAAAAGTCAGAAGAATAAGATTGTGTATATACAATATACATACTGATATAAATGCAGTTGGAAGGTAGTTAGTTATCTGTCCAGGGTTACAACCTCAGACTGAGACCTACAGGTACTGATTTCAGACAGTGGAGCCTGAATGGATTGTAACCAGTATCCTTGATCTCATTATCACCGAGAATGTTTTGAGGGACATAATTTCCTGTACTCTTTAGGTGCACATTTTAATCTCCACCCCTTTAAATGGAGGTAAGTCAAAGGGACAGCAGAGACAACTGAAACATTTCTTCTTGACTAATAATAGAACAGTGTGAGCAACAAAATAAGTAAAGTCACACCAGCTTTTAATGTAGGATATAAAATAAATACCCATGAGTCCATAGTACTATAAATAAGTGTTGCATTTATTTATTACTGCCTGGAGATAGAAGGACAGATTGTCCATGTAGAGTCCCAAATGACTAAGTTACCTCCTTTGCTGCCCTTACATGTGGCTTTTTCTCAATGACTTCTTTCTAAAGAGCATTGTTTTGCAAATGGAGAGACGCTGCTCTACGAAACTTGACAAATACCATTTTAAGCAGTTAGACAAGGTCAGTACCAACAATCATAAATCATTTTGACAGTCTGAAATCATTCTGTGTGATAAAACAGCCCTCTCCCTCTGCACTCTTCCTTTCCCAAACCAATAACCCCAATTAATCATTAGAGAACCATCATAAAAATCTGAACTGAAGGACATTTACCAAATAACTGAGCAATACTTCCGCAAAAATGTCAAGATAGTTACAAACAAGGCAAGCCTAAGAAACTCAATGTTAACAAGAGTCTAAGGTGACATTGTATCTAAATGAAATGTAGCCCAGGCTAAATGAGATGTAATCCTAAATGGGGTACTGGGTCAGACAAAGGACATCTGGTAAAATCCAAAGAAATCTGAATATAGCATGGAATTTAGTTAATAATATTGTATTCATATTAGCTCATTCACTGGATTATTAACCCTATTAACTCAGGATATAACAGAGGAAAGGACATGTCATATGGGATTTCTATGCTATCTGCATTTGTGTGTAAGTGCAAAACATAGCTAATATTAAACAGTTAGTATAAAGTGAGTTAAACAGAAGAGATTGGTCATCAGACCATGGGAGCAGTTACAGATATTTGTGTATATATTTCTCTTGTCCTTTTGTTTCCAAACTTTCAGTGAATATGAAGGCCTTTGCCATAAGGGAGTCAAAGGACATGCACTTGGAGGTGACAGGAAATGGAGGGGAGAGCATCTGGGTCAGGAGGTGTTGGACCTCTGTTGTTAATAAAGGAGGAAGCTAGAATTACAAGATGATAAGAAAAGCTACACTACATGCAGCAGGACCCCAGTCCTGGGGAATCCACAGAATGTTTGAATGGGGTCCAGGTGACGAACCCTGACACTGAAAACAGGTGTGGTATATAGAAATTTGTCACAAACTTGGGAAATGCAACTTGTACAAAGGCAAGCAATTTTCCCTGTTTTGTTCACCTCTGCCTCTAGTGTGCTGAAGGGTGTTTGGCACATAGTGCACTCGATGGGTATTTGTTAAATGGATGATAGAGGGATGCCTTCAGTGAGAGCAAAGGCCCCTGGAAGGATCAAAAAGCAACAATAATAGAATTCTATACACAGAGGAAATTGTGTGTGTGTGTGTGTGTGTGTGTGTGTGTGTGTGTGTGTGTGTGTGTAAAACCCAAAGATACATGAAGTTGTAAAACTGAGATTCTTAAGCAATGAAAAACATTGCCTTAAATAAGTCCCTTCTAACATTTCAAAGAAAAATAGTTATGCCATTTAAGAAAGTGGCACATCTAAAAAGTTTTCCCATAAACTTAACTGATATTTGTATAAAAATGTTTTTTTGTCAACACTGAATAACAGAGCTATTAGTTTGGGGTAATGCCTCCACTGACTAGCTCCAGGGGTGCCTCTCACGCCATTTTCCATGTGAATTGAGTTGTCTACGAATAGCATTTCCTTTCAGCTCAAACTCATCAATTTCTCATAGTAGCAATTGTGCTCATGTCAGAATTATTCTGACAGAAAGAACATTTAAACTCAGTTTCAGTGGAACGAGCAACCTGGGGAAATTCTCAGCAATGTGAATTTCCTGGAGGTGATAATGGTAGAATTGGGTATTTGGTAGAATGGACTGCAATGGGCTCCATGGTTTGCAAAATCAAGAATATTTGGTACTTTAAGGAAAGGTTGCTGGCTGCTGACTAAGACCTCAGGTTTCAGAGACTTTGCTTGACATGAGGAGGACTCACTCCTGAGTCCTACTTACTTATTTAACAGCCTGACTAATCTGCCTTTCATATGCCTCAGTACCTTGTCTCTAACACATAGCGAAGAGTTCACATCTCATTTTCTATTTGATTATTTAAAAATTAGGAACTTAAAAATATTGGGAAAGTGGGAGAGATGCTGAAGGTTAGTGCTAAAATTTATTTGAGGTATCCTAGTGCCAAAGCTTGAACTAAAGTAGTGCAAATATCTATCTATCTATCTATCTATCTATCTATCTATCTATCTATCTCTCCCTCTCTCTCTCTCTATCTATCCATCTATCTTCTACCAACCATCTACCTTTACTATCTACCTCATCTCTTTATCTCTTATCCATCATCTATCAATTTATCTATTATCTCTATATCAACCATCATCTATCTCTTATATATCCTCTAGCTACCATCTAACTACCTATCTGCATATCATCATCATTTGCTTCCTTAATCTAAGGACACTAAGAGCTTCATCAGTGACCTCAAAGAAAGAGATAATTTATAGCTTATACACTATAAAATACAGTAAAGGGGACTCTGGATCATCAAGAATCAAGGTCCCTTCTATTGTGCTGAATGGACTTCTGACACATTTGATCTTGCTGTATCCACAGAGGAGCTAAAATGGAAAATTATTCCCACTCCTCTCTGTCTATAAAACCTGAGTTAAATCCCACCTCAGTTCAAGAGAGGCTGGGAACATCAATGGACAACAGCTGCTGTGACTCTCTACCATATTTTGTTGAATATATATAACATATTTGACTATAGCTCACTGTAGACTTTGTTAGAGAAATTAATACTATGTATGTGCTGTATGTTTATACACTATTTGCTATCTAGTCATGCTGTTATAATTCTGAAATATGAAGTTTCTTTAATGAGTTGTGTAGATTTCAGGTGTGTGATGTATATGAAACTGGAGAATTATGTGTGTGCCAACCACTGTTTGAGGACAGACAGTCTGAATTTCAATCTTGAGTGTTACATATTCTAACTGTGTAACTATGGCTGGATACTTAAATTTTTGACTCCCTTCCTATTTGCTATAAGGAGATTACCATAGTAACTAGAAGGGTTATAGAAGTTAATATTATATAATTAACTCAATATGATGCCTAAAATAATGAAAGCTAAATAAGCATGAGATTGTTTTTTATCATTGAATATCTATTGTCACTAACATTTAAGTACTTAATACAGTAAATACTTATTAGAATGAGATAAAGTCTTTCATAATATCACAGAGTAGGCATCTAGGTATTTGCCTGAATATGTTGAAAGATTCTAGATAATGTGTATTCTATTGCAATGTGCTGATAAATGCCAGAATTAATTAGTTTCATTAGAAAACTTCCTAAATAATAAATGCTATAGATAAAATCTAATAAATATTGAGCATTTATTTGGTGTCAGGCCCAGAGCCAAATCCAACACTCCCATTATAACTTTTCCCTTTGTATTCTGAGCTGGTGTTCTAATGATATGAATATTAAGATCAAGAGAGTCCCACAGCCACTTGGTAACAAGAAGGATGTTGGATATAGTCGTAATCAAAACCCTCTGATTTATTCATTCTATTGTTCACCTTTAAGCAAATTCCAGAAAATTTCTATTTTCCTTTATCTCAAAATCAGAATGTCTGTGCTATTTTTTCCCAGGATTCTGTTGGATGTTGCTATACAAATGTGTTTGTTTCCAAGCCATTTCTATCTTCTAAATACTTTCCAGGTAGTTAGTTAATTTAGAAATATAAATACAGTAACCTAGTTTAAAATTTGATTTTCAATCAGTATTTATTGATATTTATGAACTTAATAGTTTATATGGAAAGTAAAGGCATTATACCAATATGCAGATAACATATAATTGTCATAATTAATATCCCAAATCAATATAAACCATAAACATAATTACAAGTATTTTCCATAAATATTATAAAAGCATTGCTATATATTACCCCATGTCATTGACAATAGGTTAATGTACATGCAAAATTGAACACAAACTTTTGAAACACTGATAGCAAAATACCATGTTTCTGTCCACCTTTGGAAGATAAGAATAATGACATTGCAACATAATAAAGAAGAAGGATGTGTCCTTGATCCTATCAAAAATGAGCAAATATCAACGCCCTAATTTTTGTGCTGCAAAGATCAAAATCCTTTTCAGAATGTCTTAAGTCAAATGTAGAATAGCAATTTAAGGCTTACCTCAAAACTCACAGCTCCATTGTGGTCTGTGTCAAATGCATTGAACAGAAAATGTGCATACGTTGTGGAGTCTGAAAGATCAAAAAAGGGTATCATTTAGTGTTTCTATAATCCACCCTTTTTTTTAACTTATGCATTTGATCTCTGTAACAACCCTTTCTTTAGCGAACTGCAACTTAAAATTCACAGGAATGAGCTACATCATGAGGTCATTGGTGGCAAACATTTTCTGTGAGCCTCTGGCTAGGATTAATCTCAACATATGAGATCATATATGTTGATCCCAACCCTGAAATGACTACTGGTCCCATAGGTGGATGCCAAGATTATGGAGACATGTCTGGACATGGTGCTTGGTGAAATTGTATCTCCATATATAAAGAAGTAAGACGCCAAACTGATGAAACACAGATGAGTTGATATCATGAATACCACTGCCATTATTAGTATTGCCATTGTTTTATAGCTCAAAGAAGTATTTTTGGACTTAAGGAGGTTGAGAAACTTGCCCAATGTCACATAGTCACTAAGAGGTATATATGTGATATGAAGATTCTGAGGTTGTCCCATGACCAATAAAAGTGGCTTTGGGACAGTGGTGACTCAGGAAGCTTCTGGTGGTAAAGATGTAGGGGATTTTATAGACCCTGAGATTCCTATTTACATGTCATTTTATTCAATAGGGTGCCACTATCCTGTTGGTGTCGTGGGTTGGATTCAATGCTGTATGTAATAAGGACAAATATGAATGACTCAGTATCCCCACTTTGTCTGGGTGTAGTCTAAAGTCACTGAAGGGTCTATGAAATCTAACTCTTCCTCCTGGTTGTTTCTCATGTCTCCTCCCATCCTCTCTTTTCATTTTCTTTTGTCCATTAATCTCTGTGCTTTCTTCAGATTTCATTTAAAAAGTATTTCTCTCTGTTTTCTTTTCTTAATGCCTAGCTTTAGTCTTTAAGTGCTTTTGTGCTCAATTCTTGGTCAAATTTACATGATTATGTTAAATGCTTCACCTCGTGGGTTTTAGCCTTTATTCTACACCCTACAAAAATGTAACCTTTCTGCCTTTTGCTTCTAGTCCTTTATCTTCTGCTTAAAAGCTCATTAATTTTTATGTTGTGACTTTTGGTTTTTATTTTTACTGGGATTTACTATAACCTCTCTTCCTTTTTTTTTGACATTATGAATTGATTTTAAAAGACTGTCAAAGAACTAAGTCAGAGTAGCAGGGATAGGGAATTACTTTTTCAAATCTAAACAAGTACAGCTGCTCTTCTTCTTTCAAAGTTTCTACATTCTTCCAGAGGACATTAACATTTCTCTCTGCACTCTGCAGATTGTGAGCCTTCTTTTTTTTATTCCCACAGGTATATAAACTATTTATTAACAGTGAAGGCCCAGAGACTCATTTCTTCTTGGATACACCCACAGTATGGCCCCGGCGGCCAGTGGTCTTAGTGTGCTGACCTCGGACACGAAGGCCCCAGAAGTGGCGCAGCCCTCTGTGGGCTCTGATCTTCTTCAGCTGCTCCAGGTCCTCATGTAGCTTGTTGTCTAGACCATTGGCCAGAACCTGGCTGTACTTGCCATCCTTCACGTCCTTCTGTCTGTTCAAGAACCAGTCTGGGATCTTGTACTGCCGTGGGTTCTGCATGACGGTGACCACGCGCTCCACCTCATCCTCTGTGAGCTCTCCAGCCCTCTTGGTGAGGTCAATGTCCGCTTTCCTCAGCACCACAAGAGCATATCTCCGCCCCACACCCTTAATGGCGGTGATGGCAAAGGCTATTTTCCGCCGCCCATCCATGTTGGTGTTGAGTACTCGCAGGATGTGCTGGAACTTCTCAGGGATCACTAGAGACATGGCGGCAGCAGAATCGGCAGCGTGTAGGCCTCCCGTGGAAGAGCGATTGTGAGCCTTCTAAGGAATGTTTTACCTCAATGTTTCATCAAAGTCATTGGTCAATAACATGAAGGCCTCACATCTCAAAGAGGACTGCACACTCAGTTTCTTAAAAATGATGGTAGCACTCATATCTCCTTGCTAAATACAGTATAATGCAACACTGACTTCAGCCAAATGCGTTGTTCTCTCTCTGTCTCTCTGTCTCTGCCCCCCCACCCGTGTGTGTGTGTGTGTGTGTGTGTGTGTGTGTATGTGTGTTTCATGCCTGGATGTGCATTGTATTTGCATGCATAAATGGACACAAGGTGTCAATGTTGGATATCTTTATCTATTACTTTATGCCTTAGTTTTTGAGACAGTTAGTTCAGTTAGTTTCTCATTGAACATGGAACTCACCATTCCAGATAGGCTATTTGGCCATGAGCCTTTGGGAGGCATCTGTTTATGCGTTCACCACACCTGGCATTTATGTGAGTATAAGGAATCAAATATCAGCTCTAAACACTTGGGCAATTAGGCAATTAAGCTATCTTCTCAGTCCCATTAGCTTTATTTTAAATCAGTTAACCAGGCACCCAAATTGAGTTCACAGTATGAAAAAGAGGCACTATTTAGAGTGATGCCTGTGTGGTGTTGATAACTCCTAGGAAGAAGATATTTTTGGATATGGGACCAGCGATTTGGTTGCAAATCACTTAGTGCAGTTGTTGGGACATTTTATTGTAGAGTAATGAAGACTTGGCAGCATATTCAGGTTTGGAAAGTTGGTTTGTACTCTATAGTACTTTCCACTTACTTCATAAACTCCTTACAGCTCCAAGGAGGTTTATAGATGGTTTGTTAAAATTATTTCCAGGGGATAAAAAACTAAGTTTTACATAGTTTATAATGAACTTAATTAAGTGAGTCTCTTGTCACCTGTGTAAATAATCAAGGTAAATATCTTTACCTTGCCAAGCAAAATGCACCATGAATAATGGCTCATAACAGACGATGCTTGCAATTTTTAATTAAAAAGCAACACAATATAAGTGTGTAATAATTATTCTTCTCAAATGATGTTTCACTAATTTCAAAGCTTGATGTGTGGTAATGCCACTCTCATGGTTCCACTGATGTCGTTTAGAGGACTTCTTGCCCCTCAGTGCACCTTGACAGTGCTCTTGGAAATTTACCCTAGGTTTTTCCAGCCTAGGTTTATCATGCAGGGAGATTTGGCTAATAGAATAATATAATCAGAGTGCTTGAATCTGAGACTCAGCTCTTTCAAAGGTTAATGCTGTGGCATTGAGACAGTCAACATTTCTGTGACTCAGTCTCCTCATCTGTAAAGAAAGAGCAACACTAGTATGAACTTTGTAGCAACATCATGAAGTTTGAATGAGCTATTACATATACAGAGAGTTTACAATAGTCACAGAAAGCTGTTAGATGCTAAGTGAAAATTAGTTATCATTATTGTTCTAATGATTGGGTCTCAACTAATTGTTTGATCAAACCTCTTGAGCCATGATAACATCCCAGGTTTGAGGAGTGAAATCAATTTGATGGTGTTCTTTGTTCCCACCTAAACTCCATCCCCTGGATTCAAGCATAAGGTATGGCAGTAGTCTAAAATATTTAAATACACAATCCATGGCATTGCCATTCTGGTAAGGTAGATCTATATGTGTGAATAGTAGTCTCTGTTATTGAGTCCTCTAAGACTAGGCATGGAATTCAATGATAGAAAATGTGTTTATCCCACAAAAGATCTTGGGTTCAAGCACCCTATATCCTCAAAAATATCAGCAACAATAACATACTAGTTCTCAATTCTTCCTAATAACAGCACTGAAAATGGTTATATAGTAACCTGGAATGAGAAATACATTTATCATATAGTAATTTGTACATTCTTTATCATTTAATTTAATCTTTATATTCATAGAAGGCATGCATGTGCCTCAAGTGCTTTATATAAGATGACTTCATAGTGTATATTTGTAGATAAGTCTTTCTGGCTCGAGATTATTCACATCTCTTTAATATCTGCTAACTGGGAATCCAGCATAATTAACGTATGTGCAAAGATCCATAACATAAGCAGAGATAGTCTAGAAACCTTCATTTCCCCAAAGATGTTGTAATGGTTAATGTGCTAAGAATTATACACTTAATGCTTCTACTGCATATAGAGAAACACCTGAACACACAGGCAACAGCACTAGCAACCCTTTCCTCATCTCATTACTTTATGATAGGCATGCTTTATCCCCCCTGGGAGGTGCTCTCTTCATTATGGCTGTGTTGACATCCATGCAGAACACCAAACAAGCCATGTTTGGTAAACTCTCACTATGCCTTAGAAAGAGCCAGAAAGCTGACATAATCCACATTGGACAGAGGTTTCTGTATAAGCGACAATGTGCAGGATATGGTGGTATGTGGTGATTTATAGATGCTTTCTTGTTATTGTTCACAATGACAGAAACCTGTTGCTCTCAGACTATCAAGCTGAATAAATTATGACTCCATGGGAGATGTAGACAGCTACAATATGAATCTGCCTGCCATGGGAGATTGTGTTCTTCCTGGGAACATTTTTCCTTTGCAATCATCACTGTGAGATGTAATTTTCATGCATCTTATTAATTTTTAAATGGTAAGTCATCATTCTTAGAGATATTTCATTCTCTTCAATGATGTACCTTTAGATTTATGCATTCAATTAACATGAATAATCAAAGAATTTTTAAGAGACAGAAAGTGATTGTTCTGCCTCAGATCCCTTTGAGTTTTTGAGAAGAATCCTTTGCAATGTAGATTTTTCTGTTTAGTAGATATTCTCTAATGCAAAACTATTTTTTGAATAAAGTTTGCATTTTAATGTGGAGTGCTACCTAATCTGTACTTTGTAATAGCTTTGATTAAAAAATAATAACAATGTTTTCCATCTGTGATTGTGCTTTGATATTTATACCTTGTTTTATGTTGGTAGTAGACACAAAGACAGTACACATGACATTTCCTTAAAAATGTTAAAGTAATTTAGATTTTAATGAAATAATCAGATGGTCAGATGGTACTAAATCTTCTCTCCCTTCTCCATCTTCCATTTAGTATTGGGGATCAAATTTACGGCCTTATAAATGGTAAATAAGCCCATTACTTGATCTACACCCCAGGTTCCCAGTTTAATCTTTCATTAATGTAGAAAATTGGGTCATTGCAATGTTACAACCATGGAATATGTTGTATCATATTTAGCTTCAGCTAGCAATTTACTACAACCTGTATTCACCTGGGAAGAGCAAACCTTACATGGTGAATTGCCAGGTCAGATTGGCCTGTAGGGAGTGCCATTCCTAGGCAGATAGGCCAGGACTGTTTTGTGTGTGTGTGTGTGTGTGTGTGTGTGTGTGTGTGTGTGTGTGTGTGTGTGTGTGTGTGTGTGCTTTTGCCTTGAGTTCCTGTCATGACTTTCCTCAATGATAAAATATGAACTGGAAGTGTAAGATGAAATAAGCCCTTTTCTCTCATGTTGTATTTGGTCAGAGTGTTTTATCCCAGCAAAAGAAACCAAACTGGGACAGGAGGTTTAGCAAATAGTTGCCCGTGTCTAACAAGATATGCTGCTTCTCTGAATTCAAGTTACAAAACAGTTATTGAGCAATACATCTATTTCCATCTAGTAAAGACTGCCTTTGTTTTATTAGAATTTTAATTTGTTTTTCTTAAAGTATTTTTTTGAGACAAGGTCTCTCTTTGGCTTTGAAGCCTGTCTTGGAACTAGCTCTTGTAGACCAGGCTGATCTTGACTTCACAGAGATCCACCTGTCTCTGCCTCTCGAGTGCTTGGATTAAAGGCATGCACCACCAGTGCCCACTAGAATTTTAATTCTTTTAAAAGACCGCTTTTCCTAAAACTTTGTTTTGTTAATAAATACAGAGTTGTCTGAAAAATCACTGAAAAGCCCACAACTAAATGAATTATAAACTAGACTAAAGACAACCTAATTTTTATATGAAACAATTAATATTTAGGAGTTACATTTGCTTCAAAATGAGTTTATGAATTTGTATTTTAATGCCCAAAAGTTAACCTCTAAGTTACACCTGCCTAAGGACCAGATAACTTCCTGGGATGCTGTGAGTTATATTCTTAGAAAATAATACTCATGCCACATGCACAGAAAGAGGCAGTAGTAGCCTCCTATGTTGAATAAACTTCACAGCAAAATGAAAGGCTAGGTATCACCTTAGTCCCGTAAAATATTTCTAGACTCTAATTTATGTACTTGCTAGGCTCATTCTATCACTATTTACTGAATATGTGTTATAAGCCTTCTGCATAAAGCTACTTAAGTTCTCTCTTTGCAATTATCTTTTTTGGTATGCAACATTCCAGCTTTTGCTATATTAAAAACAAAACAAAACAAAACAAATTTATCCTCTATATCTGCCTGGTGCCTTTCTGGTTTCTCTATACCTCTTACTACTCCCTGACTAGTTGTCTTCAAGCACTTTCTCTTCTGGTTGTCATTGTCTGCATACTTCCTATTTACCCCCTTAGCCTTTGAAGCTGGGTTCTTGTTTATGCCTGATAACCTTTATGAAACTGTCTCAGATAAGCTCAGCAATGACTTGCATGTCCTTCTCCATGCTGCTATGTCCCAAGGATGTATTCATATCCTGACCTCCCTGGAAGATACTGAATTAATGTCTCCAGTTTCTCATCTTCTGGTCTGCAAGTTTTCCTTGCACTTACTTCTATGACTCTAATGGTCAGTTCTGTATCCTCCACGGATTTATTTCCTTCCAGTTCCCCATTCTTGACTTGTGAGGTTTCTCACATCATATGAACACACTGTTCCAAGTAATCTCAATGTGGGCCAGCTCATTACTTCATTGCTAATAAGCTCCAAATCTCTGTCATTTTTCCTGACTTCTCTTCTGATCTCCCTTTTTACTGATTTCTTGATACCAAGTGCTCACAGGCTACTTCAATGTGATTTGTTCAATATTGGTATCATTATAACCCAAATCTTCTTGTAGTAAATTACCTGGTAACCATGACAGACTTCTGGTTATTGTCACTAATGCTTTCTTTTTTTCTACTATACAACTCTGTTAATTATTAAATTCCTGTCATTTCCCCCACAAATTGTCACCTTTGTTTGTAGGTTGTCTCTTTGCTTACACTCCTTTTATCTAGACTCAGGGATGCCTGCTGCCCTCTAAAACTGAAAGACATCATCTTTAACAGGAAGATTCCTGAGAGGATGATGAGGCTGTGGATGACTGAAGTATGTACTCTAGAAGTGTATTTGTCTCTCTCTATAGCGATTTCCATATTTATAGGAAATAAAAACCACAAGCAAGGGGGCTTAGTGGTGAAGGAAACAGCTTTCCAGAGCTAGGCATATATTAAATTATTTTAATTGCCCATTATTCAGCAGAACATCTAATTACTCTTGTAGCTGTTCACACAGTACTATTTATAACTCCACATCTCATAGGCCATACTTTATATTGACTCTGATTTATATTGCCTTCCTGCTAAGGAGACTGACTGTAGGATCTTATATTTGGAGAGGGGCCACATCCTTTTGCTCTGGTTTCTCCTTATGTGTAGCTGGTTTCAATGTTGAGCTGGAGAAGACACAGAAGCACATGCATCTCTTCACCATTTTACTGTGCTGAGTTTATTACAACTAAAATCATAGCTAGATTTTGATTAATTTTCTCAGGTGGGAAGTTAAAGTAAGAAGTTACTGAAAGGAAAAGGAGATTGCAAGAAGTACACTAGCTAGAGCTACATACACCAAAAAAAAAAAAATATCTAGGTTATAACCCAGATCTACCACTGAGTTAATATGGACACTAATCAAATCATTTAACTTTGCTAAGCCCCAGATTTCACAACTATAAATTGAAGGCAATGGTATTTGCCCTAATTCTGAGAGCTGAGAAAAATCAAATGAGTACCATGATGGGCTCGATAGAGCCTTAAGCCTCCTAATAAAGGTCAGAAAGCAGTGTGCATGTTAGAGTCATCGTGCTGGACACATGGGATTACTTTGAATACAGTGAGAAATAGCTTTTAAAGATGCCACGATTTTAATGTAGCTTATTTTTATAATACACTCAAAATTCCATGAGCTTCTTTACTGTGCATTAATACTTTTCACACGAAGACTAAAAATGTAGAGCCACACTATGAAAGATTAAACCAAACTCAAGATTGCACGAAGAACTGTAGGTCTGTGACTATGTTAACAGGTCCTCATTTGTACTTACCTCCCTGTGGGAAGAACTGGGAGTAAATCTCCTTGAAGGTTTCTTCATTAACAACACCACTGGGGCATTCCTAGAGAAAGCAGCAAGAAGTAATATCAGCAAAATCTTCATAAAAGTGATTTTGTACATTTTGAGTAGAACTGGCTGCTATGCAAAGATGCACAGAGAAGGTTAACCATCATTAACACACACACACACACACACACACACACACACACACACACACACACACTGCAATAGGGAGGGAATGGAGTATTGCTTCCTCCACGTATTCAAGGAATAAAAAACTTGAAATGAAGGTTTAAATATCTTTTCATATTGCGCACTGCCCTCATTTGCATTTCATTGCTGTGATCTGGGACCAAAATCAACGTTGGGAGGAATGGTTTTATATTACAGCTCACAGCCCATCACTGAAGGGCAACAGGGCAGGAACTCGAGGGAGGAACCTGGAGGCAGGAACTGAAACAGGAGCATTGCCAGAGCTGTGCTTAGTGGCTTGTTCTCTATGGCGCTTTCAGCCTGCTTTCTTACAGCACCCAGGACAGCCAGCTCAGTGATCACCTCCCTTCTTAGCATCTTCAACACCATCCAATGGACAGGCATGAGAATGGGGGAATGCTAACCCACAGCTAGATAAAAAGCTACAGGGATCTAATGACTGCAGCAGAAAGAGGGAGAGTCAGTCTTCCTCAGGGATGATCTTTCAACCAGTTACCCAATACCACATGTGAGCCCTGAAGTCATATACACACAAGCAACACTAAATAGATTCAATGGGATATATGTATATATATACATACATATACATACATATATAAGTATATACATACATTTAATATATAGCAATAATAAATATCACTAGCTGGAAGGGTTGGAGGGAACAAAGGGAGAACAGATAAATACAGTACATGTATAGAAAGTTAAAAAATTGAAAAGCATTTGTTACTGAAAACACCCAACAATCCTTTTAAGCCTTAAAACCATCATCACTTTACTAATAAGCTTATTCTGCTATTGTGGGCTTTGTTTATTCCATTAAGCAAGTTAGTTTTTCACTTGTAATGCGCTTCCTTAGGGGGATTTTCTGTTTGCTCATTTGTTCCTGTGAAAGGTAGTGCTTTTGTTGTGCAAACAAATTTAGACTGATAGCTTTGATGCGAGTGTGTATTTACAGAATCTGTGAACATATTAACCAGTCAATGACAGATTACCAGAATATCCCTGTTCCTGTGAAGAGGTAAACCAGAAAGTCCTTGGCTATCCAGTGAGGTAGACTTAGGACTTTTCAGGGCATTACAATTATTTTTAAATGAAAGGAGTTCTATGGAAACGGTAATCTGTAATGACTCCAAGAACTAAGAATATTGGAGTAAAGAAAGGAGAAAAAAAAAAAACATTAAAAAGCATAAAGAAACAGGCAAACCAAACCATGGCTAAGTTCATGTGCTGTTTTTATCTGTGACCTGGGGCTCAAATAAGATCAAACCTTATTCTGAATGTTTCCGTGACAGTGTTTATGAATGAAATCTGCACTTAAATTGGTGAACTTTTCTAAAAGAATCTATCCACTGCGATGCTGTTGAGATTCACTCAGTCTCACTGAAGTCTTGAAAAGAGCAAAGTCTGGCAGTCTTAAGGAGGAGGGGATTCCCTGGTAGACTTCCTAGACTTCAGCTGCAACATGGGTGCATCTCTGGCTTATAAGGATGCCTTTATTGTGCTGCAAACATTTCCTGATTGTTCAGCCTGCTGGCTTTCCACTTGAGAATCTGTGCTTGCAAAGCCTCCAAGGTATTTTTATCTGTCAGTCACTCAGTCAGTCCCCTTCTCCTCCTCTCCCTCCTTCTCCTCCTCTTCCTCCTCTCTGTCTTTCACTCCATCCCACTCTCCTCTCTCTTCCATTCTCTCTCTCTTGCTAATTTCCTCTTCCACTGTTTACATATGTGAACAGATGTCTTCACACACATATCTAAATTACATTTGTTTTTCTTATGGAGAACCATGGTTAATCTGTAAGAGTTAAAAATCCACACCTGCAACTTAGAAAAAGAAATAAAGTAGCATGTGAATATTCAATCATTCAAAAGTTTTGGGTAAATAATTCCTGTTGGCAGCAGTGGACCAATTATAAGTGAAAATGGACACTTTGGGGTTAGACTTCTCACACATGTAAATTGTGATTTATTAGCTATTTAACCACGAGCCATCTGTTTATGGCCACAAAGGAAAAGAAAACATTTGGTTGGCTGCCATCAGGTGGAAAATTTTTGCACTGTCAGAATTGTAAATTGTCCTCACAGTTAAAGTGATGCTGACAGAAGACAAGGGTCAAATATAAAGGGCTGTCTATATTTTGTAAACTTGTCAGCTACCTGTTGTCTTGAGGCATATTTGATAAACATATTTTATAATATGAATGGACTGGTAAAAACTGATTATCTCATAATCTCATAAATGTTTGCCTTACTCACATGTTTTTGTTTGGTGAAATAATTTTTCACTAAATGAAATGCTTCATTGACATTGAGGATATAGTAGGTCTCACCAGGTAAACATTTCATATCAATCTAACATTTATTACATTAATTTTTGTTTATAAAAATAAGCATTTATACAAAATATAATTTATTGGACTATAGAAATAAATGATGATGTTACTTTCTTTACAGAGCCCAAGATAGTTATTCCTTTTCTTTTTTTAATTTTTGTAAAGCCCTCTGAGACGTATTAGTGCTGCTAATACACTCTGGAGTGTGTGACCATCCACCGAATTGTGTTATACCTGTTAGTACTCACACTCCTAAAGAAAAACAACTCTCCCTTTCCTGGAAGATATCAGTTGACCAAAGCTCTTCAGTTGGTTGCATGAGATTTCGTGCCCTCCCTTCTCCATCCATGCTGAGATTTTTGTCTTGCTGGTGCTTACATAGTTCTTGGGTATAATTCTATAACTGCTGTGAATCCATATGTACCTCAGCCCTTTGTGTCTGAGAAGCACCATGTCCTTGTAGTCATGTATTGCTTCTGTATCTTATAGTCTTCCCATCCACTCTTCCTCAACGATCAGAGTGCAATATAGGTGTTGCATTTAGTGACTGGTGGGGCTTCACAATTGCTCATTCTCTTCACCTTGGTAAGATGTTAACCATTAACTGCTGGCTACTGCAAAAAGACACATAATTTGAGAGATTCAGGACTGTATCTGCATAACAAGAAGTCAATGGGGATTGGTTTAAGGTTCCATTAGTAGAGTTATAGTAATAGGTTTTCTCCTTGTACTATGATCTACCTACCATAGGCTCTTATTTCATCTCTTTACAATGCCAGGCATGGATTACATTTTGTGGAGCAGGTATTAAATCCAATCCGAAAAACTGTGGTTACTACTCTAACATTTGTCAAGCAGCATATTATTGTAGCTCATAGGGGTCTCAGCTGGTTAGACTGGTAATTTCTTTTCTGATAACATCCATAGTAACTTGTCTTACTGTGAAAGTCAGCCAGTAGGGCTGAAGTTTCAAGGCCAATATAAGCTTGGTTTATTCATGTTCTATAATTCAAGTATGTGAAGTCTCCTGCAATATTGTCTGATATCAAGTTATGGAAGGTAGTCAATATCTATGGGACCTCCCTGGCTAACAACCTGACATTGGGTTTTTCATTTGTTAGTCTATGGTATCTGTTAATGGAATTGTTTCCCATTTATAGGGTTATCTCATTTGGATGGATGGATGCTAATATTACGTTCAGTTTGCAGATGACCAAAACTGCCATAAGGGCAAACTACCACCAATCCCTTAATTAGAAAATGAGAGACCATGTTCTATGGGTGACTGATTCAGGAAGCTTCAGCGTTCAGAGAAAATTTCAAGATAATTCAATTTCATACTCCTATTTTAAAGTTATGGAGATCAAGATTGATAAAGTTACAATGGTTACATAATGGGCTGCCTAGTCTTACCAATAGTCCTGGTTCATGTGCCATGCCATAAATGCCTTTTTTCCCCTGAAATTGTTGATATTTTTTACTAGGGCATATTTAGAGCAAGATAGTACAAATATAATTGTCTTGAGTTTCCATGTCAAGTTGAAAACTTAATGTAAGTCTTTATGCCACTTAGGAGCTGTATAAGTTTAAACTATTTGTTTTCTCCTCTTGTATCATTGTATTTCTCTACAAAATGGAAATACCACTGGCCTCAGAGAGCTGGCATGAAACTCATAAATAAAACTTACACAATGATATCTCCCCCACCACTTTGCACATTGTAAATTGATCATTAAATATTAACAAGATGTAGGCAAGCATAACTCCTTTATAGAATGGGTGACTGTAACATCAATGCAATGTATGAAGGTTAAATTGTAGCTATCAAATTTCTTGAACCCAAAATAGGACAGCTCTAATAAAATGCTATGATTTTATTAAGCGGATACGAATTAGGCCTCCTACTCTTGTATTGTAAATGAAGTTTATTCAATCTAATATCATCAGCATTGACTCTCAGATACAGGAGGATGCTATAATTGTAAATGAGAGGTGAGGAATACAAAGGTCATGACTGTAGAAATAAATGTCAATAGAAACTCAGGAGCCTTTCTCATTCACTAACGTAAATGAAAAGTATTCCCAGTGATGCTTGCATAAGTGAAAGTGTGTTAAAAGTGCTCCATCAGCCATCATGAGAAGTGTAGTGACAGGAGGCAGACACATGTACTCACAGGAAATTACTAAGAAAATTAGTTTGTGAAAAGTATCATGAGTTTTTCATATTTTCACCCCATAAAGAAACCTCTCAGCATTTCATATAAGCTTGTCATAGCTCTGGTGAAATGCAGATCAGACATAACAACAGAGAATAACTACAACATGTATCTCCAAAATTGGCCTCGCTCTTCTAGTTCAGTCACCTTCTCTTGAGTAGTTGTCTTCTATCAGATGTCTCTTTCTCAGATTTAAGGTTCTAATTAAATATTTATAGATAGGGCCAGTGAGACAACTCAGTGGATAAAGATATTTGCCACCAGACAAGACAACCTGAGTCTGATCTGTGAGAGCCATAGGGA